TTTATCTTTTCCATTTTCTTTGTTGCTCGACATCAAATAGATAATTATTTCATATAAATATTAATATATGAAACGAATAAATTATAATTTTTAGCGAGATATTTATTATTATTTATAAATTATTATCTGCGAATAAAATTAAGTCCAAACTTCGTTGGATTGAAACTTTATACAAAATGTTTTGAAATATGATTATACAATCATAATATATCAAAATATGAGTAAGTACTACTGGTTACAATATTATTTGATTAATATTGAGAATAACTGTCTATAAATATCTGTAGTATTTCAAATTTCAACTTACATAACTTACATACTTACATTATGATACTGATATTGTTTGCGTATTTCAACATTTTCTAATGAACAGATATTAAATCGTAGATAACATTTTTTCAAATCATCTACACATGAACGTATGAAACATATTTTTGTTCAAGTTTTATTTCTTTATCTATTTTTTAATATAAAAATATGCGCTTACTTAAACGTTGAAATTTACTTAAAAATGAAAACGAATAATTTTCATTGTGTTCGAAATTATATATTATATAATATTTGCATATTATAAAATTGGAACAATATCTAAATAAAAATGGAATCATATTAAAATTCTTATATAAATATTATTCTTCTATAATATAATCTTTAAAAATTTTTTTTCTTTTTTTTTTAACTTCGTTTTTTGGTAGAAATTTGTATAGAGAGACAAATCATCTCGTTTATGCATTTTTTATTTCATAATTTATTATTCTAAACATGTTTTCTCAGAATATTTTTGCATTAAATTATAGAAATATACAATATAGAATTATATTGTTATTATTTTGTATCATTAACAATTCAACGAATCCTGTATAAATTTTCGAATTTTTCGAAGATAAAAACCCTATTTCCTCGTTATCCTTTATTGTATTATACATATTGTATCGAGTATTCTGATTTTTTATTACGAACTTCAAAAGTTATCAAATAATAAAAAAAAATAATTCCAAATAGTTTTAAATTAATTGGAATTCGCGGAAGAATTTTAATAAAAATATCCCTTATTATTTTTAGAATAATTTTTATAAATTATTTCAAATAAAATTGATTTATATTTTATACTAACTCGAATTAATTTTTTACAGGTACAATGGATTTTGATATTGGAGCGAACGAAGAGGAGATGTTATTTCGAAATCCAGTGATTTGCGCATAACGATGTATATTTTTTCACAAAATATATATTAATATACTTTCACTGCCTTGGATCGCATTGTGTTCGTGATTTATTATAAACGTTCATTCGGATGGCAACATGTGAAGGTCGTTCGATACGGATAGTTTGACACGAAGCGAGATCATCCAAATTTTCGGTTTTGCACGTTCTGAGAATGGTTAACATCGGTGGAAGATTGCGCTCTAATCCAGGTAAATAAAAATGTATTATTGTACAATTCAATCCTTGTATAAATACTCCTTTACATAATTCTAATGTGTTATCAATGCGAAAATTATTTTATATGTCTAAGAACTGCTTAAGAAATTTAGTATACGCGAAAGAATCTGTTTTCAGAATGGAAAGGAAAATTTTATTATTTGGGAAAGAAATTTTGTTGTGATATTTAAATATAGAAAAATTTTATTAAAAATTAGAAAATAAAATCACAAATATTTTTTGGTAGGGAAAACTTTCCACTTTTTGGAATAAAAGAGTATTTTATTTTTCATTGTATATAAAATTCAATTTATATATAAACGCGATGTTAGCATTATTGCTCGCTGATAATGTCAATCTTAACCCGTTCCTTCGAACGATATCTAACCACGCTTGCAGTTTTAAAGGCACGTTTTCATTTACCAAGTGCATCGCGTGTGTTCATAATTTGTGTCGAATAATGTACACATAATGAACGAGAAGTAAATCGTACATTCACGTTTTTCACGTATCTGGTATTATTTAAAAAAATTCTTGATGAAATGAAATTAAAGAGACTCGTATATTGAAGTTTGGAAATGAAAGAAATATCGTATGCAGATGAAACGAAAAAAATTAAAAAATTCAAAGATTCACGATTCACGAAGAAAATAATAAAAATTCAATGGAAATGCTTTTTCGAAGTGAGAGTAAATCTTTAAGAAATCTTTGTTGAAGTTATTACGCTGCTTTTAGAATCCGAAAAGGATCTTTTATCGAATTCTATTAATGGCAATCCATATGAGTTTTGGAACGAAAAATAAGAGAAATGAAATTTTAAAAGATTAGATTGTATCGAGTATTCTTTGAGATTCTTTTCTTTTCTCTTTATACGCAGTAATCCACTTCGAATTGTATCAAAGATATATACTATAAACAAATTGTTTTTATTTGACAATTTAAAAAAAAAATTATAACAATCAGATAAATTGAATGCTTGTTATATCTACTTTTTCACGCACATGCTGTGTAAAATTTAATCCCTTTTGATTGAATAAAAAAGCGAAATTCATCTCGATATAAGATTAACAGAGCAAAAAGAGTTTAATCTCGTTTAAATCGTTTCTGTTTCGCAAAAACAAAATTTGGGAAGCGATGAAGTCAACGTAATAGTGGAGATTTGCCACATTCTAGGATTTATTCTTTTCTGAAATATAATAAGGGAATAATTCTCCATTTTTCGCGCATTCTTTGCGATTCTATCTATAGAAATTTTCGAAAATACTTTCCTTTCTTGACTGTTATCGAATTATTATTTCTGGGACATCACAAAATTGTCATCGTTCCTTCATAAATTAAGTCAGTGTTCCTCCAAATGATAATTCATTCGAAACGATAACACATTTTCATATTTCGCTTATTTCATCACATAACAGCGGTTTAATCTATCGCGAGTCTTGCATTTTTAATATCCGTTTATTATGAATTTTATAAAGAAGAGAAAGAAAAAGAGAGAGAGACATGGCGGGTTGTTTTTGAAGGTAATTAAAATTGAGTGCACGGTTCTCTTCTTATTGGTGATTTTAAAAAAAATTTTTCATCAACTAATGTCAAAAATGTGGCGTGTCCCGTTCAATATTTACCAACTACGAAATTCCAATTTTCTATGTGAAATTGATCTCACGTTGCTGAAAAATTCAATACTCTGATGAATTGGACAATTTTGGAGAAAAAAAAAAAAAAAGAAAAGAAAGAAAGAAAGAAAGGAAAAATGGAAACGACGAATTTGTTCGTTAACAATGGAATATTGGTTTCGAGAAAAATTGTAAAACGTCACAAGATATGAAACTATAATTGTAGCATAACTCTACGATCACGATTCGAAACTTATAACAAGCGTATGGACTTCCGTGTATGTAATCTGATGATGCATCCGTGTAAACTGACACCATTTTAAACATCTTTTATAAATATAAATCTCTATTGTATTGCTTTGTTATCCATTGTTATATCTGTTATCTTGCGTTACAGGTTAAAATTATTTAATAAATCGTTGGAAATAAATGAGCACAGCGTATCGTTTAAATAATTTGAAATTATCCGAAAGCCTTGCATTTATATAAAAATATGGTTTTTTGCTAACAGTTTCTCTTTATCTCGAAAAATAACAACAATATTCAAGGTGATCAAAATTATTGCCCGAATATATATATATATATTTTTATCCATTTTAGATTTTATCCGCGTCATCAAAGTTTCGTGTAAAAGCATAGCGTTCGAAATTTCGAGCAAATTTCGCAGTGATCATTTCGTTTGCGGATGTAAATCGGATACCGTGTTCGTGTTTCAATTGTGTATTTCTAAATAAAAGTTATATAAAATCTAGGTGAAACGATATTTTTCTATTTTTTAATATAAATACATGATTCTGTATAGTATGGTAAAATCTTTTTTTTTAAATATCATATGTTCTTATAAATTCTTATTGTTAAATTCTATTATAAAGAAAGTGGCACGGTGACACGATTTTAATATCGATATTAATTGATCGCATACAAAATATTTCTCGCGCAAAATTTTAATCGTAAATATTTAATATTTATTATTTAATAATATATTTAATTATTAATAATTTTTTTCGAAAATTTGATCAAGTTCCAATTTTCAATTTTCTGAAAAAATTTCTGAGAAAATCTGAAAAAATTTCTCAATACTTGAATTAACGAATTAAATTTTTTTTTTCACGCAAAAACTTTAAAGAATTAAATCGTATAAGATTCTTCTCTCTCGTAGTTGTTTGTGTTTTCTTTCACAAGCTCAGCAAACGTAATGTGGATACCGTATGATATCGTATTATTACATCCCTGAAACTATTCACTTTCTTTGGATTTGTATTTCCACATTTAATAAACGTCGCATATAACAAGTTTCTTAGAGTATGAAGTTGTTTAGGTGTCCAAAAAAAATATGTCTTCGATTGTTAATTAAATTCCAAGCATTAAGTTGTTTAATTAAGATACTCATCCAAGTTGGATGGCAGTGAAGTTTTAAATTACATTCTCGACAAGTTATAAAGATCTTAGAAAATTTCAGTTAACGAGAAATCTCATTCTATTTGAAATATCTTAAAATAGAAGAGCTATCGATCTGTTTTCAACTTTTAATTATAACTATAAATAACTACCGTTCTAAATAATTTAAAAAATTGCAAAATATCGTAAGATTTTGAAAAGATCTTTCAGATTAAATGTTATTGATAATGAAATAAGCTAAAAATAAGATTAATTAATCATAATTTTATAATATTATTTTTTTTTTAAATCAAAAATATCTTCTTCTTTGCCAAACTTTATCAACTCATAAAGAAATATAATACATACTTTTTTTTTTTTTCCTTAAAAATCGTTTCAATTCCAATGATACAACGAAGGAAAATTAATAAAAAAAATATTTCGCACGCAATATATCTCGATCACGCTGTACAAAAATTCTTCTCTAAAAATCCACGGATTATCTCGATTATCTCGAATTACTATTACTCCCATGAAATTTCAATTCCCCGACCAGATAGTAATAACACGTGAAATATAAAACTCACCGAACCGTGAAATATCCGTTTAAGAATCGTCGACTCGAGTATAATATTCTTTCACAAGCCGATATTTCCACGTCGATGATTCCAACCTGCTGTATCATTCGAACGATATCAATTCGACATTGTTCCCGCGTATTCTCCGCGAGGATGACTTCGATCCGGTTTCAGAACAATTCCTCTTTCACCACCGATGTTCCCACGGGACACACCACTTTCACAGTTAATCCACTCGCACCCTTACCGCACAACACCCGGTTGATCGAACAATAATAGCTCGTTTCACGGGAACGATTCTCGCTCGACGCGAGAAGACCGGATGCATGGCATTTGCTCTCTCGAACTTAATCAAGAGAAACAAATTGTACGAAACACGATTTACGAACGGATAGAAGAGAAGATGCGCGCAACGATACACACACACACACACACGCACGCACACGCACACTCACCCACTCACATACACACATACACGCACAATTATCACTTTTCAAGTCAATATTGCGAAGGTGGAAACATTTCGAGGATTCCTTTGTGGACAATTATTGCGATCGCCTCCCCTTGGTTTCGAGGCAAAGCTTCAATTGCATCGAGCTCAGCTGTTTCAGCATAGTTCCATCGTGCAACATGATAACAAACGATATCCGTGTCCGAACTTTGCGTTGTTCCAACTTGTTGGATATTTGCTCGATCGGATCGTTATCACTCGAATCATCGGATAGTTGGCCGCCAACAAGTTGGTGGAGAGCGTGTGCCCGTCATTGATACGGAACGCGTACCATAATTTGGGTCCATGGGCGTGCGGATTGGTAATAGGTCGCTTCAAAGATCGCCTGCGTTCGACGTTTCGACGTTGACAATGGAATCGTTGAGACAAAGGCCATCGACGGATTCCTCGATACACCCTTGTCCTTGTGCACCGTTAAGCACACGTATTTTTTTTTATTTCCCTGTCCCTTCTACTCGTGCACGTTTCATCACACGGATGTACGGTCAGTATTTGGAAAAAACGAAAATTTAAAGGAGCGATCAATTTCCAATTATCTTTCTCGTTAATTTAATCGGATTTTTTTTTTTTTTTTAGCTTGCCAGCTGCTTCTTCCATTCAAATTTTCATTCGTTACATTTTTTTTTTAATTTTGCCTTCAAACACAAAAAGTTTAACGAAAAGTTAATTAACGATCTCCGTTCAATTCGTTTTAATTTTTAATTTTATTCCTCCTGTTTAAAAAAAAAAAAGAAAGAAACGCTGTAACGTTAAGCTCAATTCATTAACGAAGATTTGTTCGATTTAACGCGATTAAATTGGAAAAAGAATTTCGACTCTGTCGGGATCGGGATCGTTTCGAATCGTGTGCGCGCTTTCCGAGAACTCGCGACGAAGTGCGGCCGGTTTTCACGATGAATATTGTGAACCAGGGGGTGGGAGTGTCTACGGTGGGGCGGCAGACTTTGGCAGGCTTTTCCTCGTGGAAGGAGATCATCGTGGAACCTGCGCCGTTCTTCGTTACCCTTTATACCTTTTATCGAACGATCGTTCGATCCATCGTATCGGATACAGATTTCTCGTTCCAATATTTGAATAAATTTTCTGATAATAAGTGGAATCGGTCGTTGATAGTGTCAACTAAGCTAAGTGAAAACAAAGATTGGATAATGCGCGCGTCGATAATAATTATATTTTTAGATTTCTTCTCTCCATTTCGTTCCTTTTCTTTAATCTAGAATTTTAAATCACGATTCACGATAAATTTTCCACGTATGGCCGAATTCCACTTTTCGTGAAACGAGCGTTGGAATGGTTATGGTTAGAAGAATGCACAGAAATATACAGGGGAATATATATGTAGAACGAAATATATTTTCGATTTATCAGGGAGCGAGAAGACAAAAACGAAAAAGGAAAAAGTATTTGTTGGATGATGGGGTAAATAAAGAAGGATGTTTTATCGATGAATATCACGTGTATTCACGTATAAAACATAATTTTTAAAAATAATTTATCGGATTCGATTATGATCGCAAACATGATATCCAAGCATAATCCTATGCATGTATCCTATATACCACAAAATTAAATTATTCAATGAATTTTGATAATGAAGTTGTTAACGTAGTTTATAAGTGATTTATGATGCGAGAGTGTGAAATAGAATTTCGACGTTATTCAAGATACAATGGAATATTTCAATATTAAATCGGCAGGAAAAATTTTTAAAATTTTTAAAATTGAAACATTTTGCAAGGTTCATTAGTTTTATGAATTGGCTCGACAGGTTGTATACTTACTTTCTTCACAATGGCGTCATAACGACTATAGCTATAAATTACTCGTATACATCAGATTGTAAAGCCATTTCATTAGATTTGTACATCGTGCGTTGAATTATACACGATGAATTCGCGCTTTGAGTTATGTATATATGGATAATTTACATTTCTAAAGCAGCTAAGATCGACTTACCGTGTTTAATGTAAATTAGATTGTATAATTAATCATAGTTCGTATTGATGGAACAATTTTCTTTAACTTGTGAATTAAACGAGTTTCATTGTAAATTAACGCATTGTGCGTGTAAAGTAAAATTGAGAGAGAGAGAAAGAGAGAGAAAAGAAAAGAAAGGTGTGAAAAAACTGTGAGCAAAATGAATGAAATCGCATGTTGGGATTTAAATTTTAACGACGCGAATTCTATTTTTCTTTACCGTGTGTTTTAATTAACAAAATATCACACAATGAAAACTTTGCGTAGGATATAGAAAAGAAAAGGAAAAATTTCAGTCGCTTCAGATGCGATGTTATTTCATACGAACGATTACTCATTTTTAATATTTTTAATCTTTTTTAAGCCAAGATTTATTAATCTGCGAATATTTCTCGTAAAATTAGTTATTTCGTTAACGAGATCGTTCTGAAACCATCATTTATCATTCCATTGCCCTCGGATATTATTAGTGATTAGGCAAAGATTTTAAATATTTTTTGCGATATTTTGATTGTAAAAATATAAGGGCATTTTTCTTTTCCTTATATCTATAGAACGTGGATGAATTAAGAGATATATTTTTAAAATTATATTATGGAATAATATTTATAATATTTGTGTATTTAAATCAAACTTGATAAATTGACAAATTGAATATCATATTTGGATTGAATATCAAGTGTACAAATGTCAGATATAATTCAATTCGTTTCCATGTATAGCGATTTAATATCGTTTGTTTTTTTCTTTTTTTTTTTTTTTTGCTCGGTTGAAAATGTTTCCATTAATTTCCCATTATGGGCGGGGGGCGGGCCAAAAAAGTTTTTTTTTTTTTTAGCTTCCCAGCTTCTTTTTCCTTTGAAATTTTTTTTTTTTATATTTTTTTTTTTTTTTTTTTTTTTTTTTGCTCGGTTGAAAATGTTTCCATTAATTTCCCATCATGGACGGGAGACGGTCAAAGAAGCTTATATATTTTTGAATTTTATTCAGAGTCTATCGTATTATCGATAATATCCATTATTTCATATATGCTATTTTTTAATTTGTTGAAAAAAAGAATATTCCGAATGAACGGTAATTAAATTAATTGTGGGATAATTATTATATAATTATTATACGATTATATTTATATATCTATAATTGATACGATTAATATTGTTTATACAAAAATTTTATGTTCATCGAAAGATTACTCGATGAATTAGCTTATTAACTAAAAATAAAAAAATTTTTTCCCATATAATAAATCATTTTTTGACAAGATAAAAATTGTCTGCTTCAATACGGTTGAGAATTAAGTTATATCAAAGTATCCGTGTCTAATAATAGATTATTTTTCTGTTTTACGATCGCGTGCTGTCCTTCGTTATAAGGCTATTTTATCAAGATATTATCTATGAAATAAAAAGATTATTTCTCGAAATTGCATTGGACTACTTTTGACGATCTATGATTTCACGATATTAGAGCACTCTTTTGATCCTTTATCGGTTCTTTGTTACTACGATACTCTCGGAGAAATTCCTTGCTCTGGAAATTCATCATATCTTTCATTGTATTTCCTTTTTCCGTTCCACTTTCTACGTTCGTTTAAACATCACGTGTCAGAAAAAATATATACACCTTCTCCTTAATGAAAAAATTTCTTTGATTTCTATGATTTCATCTCTGTCAAATATTAAGAATCTTATTTATACTCGTTCAAAGTGACGAAAATATTAGCGATACTAAATATCTCTTTCGAGATACTTCTTTTGTTACGAAGTTATCATACATATCCAATCTTTTCCAGATTCCGTATTCTTCGCACTTTTTGAAAGTTTTTATTATGCAGTGACCATTCTAACAAATGTTCATCCTCTTATATTCAGCTCAGGATATTCGTTGAATTCTTCTACAAAATATTTTTACCAACTCTTTATCATTTTGTTCGCTATTATTGTCGAATCGATTCTCACATTTCTTTTATTCCCTTTATCCTCGTTTTTATGTAAGAGTAATTATTTTCGAATTTTTTTTTTAATAAAATTAAATTTCAATTTTTCCAATTATTTTTTTTTGCATCAAAATTTTTGCATATAAATGTGTAAATTCATCATATCGAGAGTAAAAACACGTTAAATCGGATGAAATAAATAGAAAGAGAGGAAAATTCAAATATATTATATCACACATTTGCGACGGAAAACCGATAAACGAGAACAGTGCATTAACTAGTATTAAACAATAAGATTAATTTATTTCGAACGAATTAGATTTTAATTATTCGTGTACTGAGAAACAGATATATCAATTTACTCGCTTCCTGCTACTCTCTTTTTATATTTTATCCGAACAAATAATATCCCATCGTAAAAAAAAAAAAAAAACATTTACTATTAATAATTATGAAAGGATAAATCGAATGTGAAAAATATTTCTTGAGAATATTTGAACGAATATTGAAAACGATTTTCAACAAGAAACTAAATATTCACGTAAATAAATCTAGTTTCGTGTAAAGTAATCTAGTTTCAAATGTGTTACATTATTTAGCTCTTTTGGCACTTTCATGTTACATAACTGAAACAGAAACACATTGTGTGAATGATAGCATTGTGACTGTATAATGTATCGCTCGATGAGTTTTATATATATATAACTTCACTTTCTTTTGTGAACTCTATAACAATATATTCTTTGTTTAAAAAGCTATTATAGATTTGTTATCGGTATGAATCGAATAAACTTTATCGTAAAAAATATCCAAAAATTTCATTTGGATCGTTCGATCACGTTCCATTTTAGACGGAATTGTAAAAGGAAAAATCGATATAAGTGGAAAAGATGGATAAAATTATATATCTGTCAATGTGGTTTTTTTCATTTTATCAATCGTTCTATAATTTTTTTATTTAAAAAATGATCGATAAAGAAAAATTGAAGGGCATATCTTTTTAAATGAAACAGTTTCTCCTTCATCTTTCTGATTGAAAATTATTATTAATCGAGTTTTAAATTATTGTCATAGTTTTATGATCGATTATCAATAATAAAAGAAACAAATCAGAAAGATTAGAAGTTTTATGCGCGCTACAAATCATGGTAACGGTGTGTGTGTATTCCTGTAACTTTTACATAAACGATATTTGTTCAACTCGTAGGGTCATTTTTACTACCCTGCAGCTGTTTCGAATATTAGATTGTACGTTCACAATTTACAGAATAGAAATGAATTTAAGTTCGTAATTGAATAATTTTTGAATAGAGAATTTTGAGAAATTTAATTAATGTTTTTAAATATTACCTTTTTTTATTTTCAATTCAATTGATTACTTTATAAACAACGGTTATTTTCAAATTTTATTTTTACAGCGTAATTGATCATTTTAAAATGTAAAAAAAGCGCAATCAATCATTTAAGAATATAAAACTTCTTTCGAGAAAGTAAATTTGTTTTCGTAAGAAGAAACCAATAATTCAATATAATTAATGTGAGTTATTTAACTTCGTCATCTGAGATATTTCAAACGCAATTGAGATTTTCTTTAAGAAGTTATGGTAAAGAATATTTCCACGACAAA